CGATAAATTTTTAGTGACTGACAGTTAGTCAGATTAAGGTCCTGACTCTTAATTGTTACAAGGTGCCTGTACTGAGTCTCTAGACAGCCAAGTCTAAGGAGCAACTACTCAGCCTCCCCCACCCATGAAACTTATGACTAGTCAATCACTTCCCCCAAGCTCTGCTAGTAGTGTTTCGGGCGAAGCCTTCCGGACTATGAAAAGTGCATCAGGAAATCATGAAGAAGAGATGAGTGGACCTGCGGACATGGATGGTGATTGAAGACTGACGCAAAAATAGATAATACAATCAAGAGTCCAAAGAAACGCTAAGACTTTAAGGGATAACTCAAAATCAAGTGAATAAAGAGCAAATGAAGGCTGAATAAAGTAATGCCAATTGGTCACCTGTTCACCACACCCCATCACTCCGCCATAAAAAAACGACAACACAAAACAAGTTCACCAACTGCCTCGCTTAAGTGGAAGGTGGGTGCCTGGGATACCCAGGGGCTTCCCCTGTGGCCAGCCAGCCCCTAGATAGAAAACTGCCCCCATGGCTGGCAAATATCCCCTCAACCCAGCCATGAGCCCCCATTCCAGGCACCCGTCACACTGGTGAAACAGTGGAAGGAAGAAAAATAGGGATGGGAGGGGGGTGGAGACGCTAAATGAACCACTCCACAGACCACTGCACAAACGCTCGACGAAGAACTCGCAGATCCTAGCCGTGTACAAATCTACCACAAACCATGTGAGCCTGCACTTATGGGATTGACCGCTGGATGCCCGCTAAGCTCGTCGGCCACTTGAACGCTAAACTTGAGGACCGCTTGACCGCTTAACTTGTGGACCGCTTAACTGCTAAGCTTGTGAACCGCTTGACCACTAAGCTTATGAACCGCTTGACCGCTAAGCTTGTGGACCGCTTGACCGCTAAGCTCGTGGTGGTTAACTTTAGTTAAATTATATTTAACCAAATTTAACCAACTGCCTCGCTTAAGTGGAAGGTGGGTGCCTGGGATACCCGGGGGGCTTCCACTGTGGCCAGCCAGCCCCTAGATAGAAAACTGCCCCCATGGCTGGCAAATCCCCGCAACCGAGCTATGAGCCCCCATTCCAAGCCGAAGGGACTCTCCGAGCTGACGCAGCCAGATCGGAGACAGAAAGAGGGGCTCAGGGCTGGGGGAAGCCCTGGCCCCGAACTACCCAAGTCCCGAGGCACGCTACAAGGACAACTAGGAAAAGAGAAAGATACGCAAGAAATACCTGTCAAGTGAGAAGGCTTGCTACCCCCACGATAGTACTAACGGGAGTGTGAATATAGATCTGATGCGCATCGCTGGACCATCTGCCAAGTCTCTTGATGAGGTGATCTGGTAAGCCACGAGAGGCTGCTGAAGTAGCAGCGCCAATGCAGAAGCTATGACCGGTGTAGCAACCAGGGACTCCAGCAGCGGAAATGATAGATTGAATATTGGATGTCATCCATTGGCGATGTAGAGGGGTGCCATCAGAGAGAAGGAACAGTGGTCCAGGAGTTGAGCCACGGACGTGTAGATACTGGGTAAGAGCGCGCACAGGGCAGAGATAGCGTTTAACAGCGCCAATGTAAATATGGCAACCTTGGCGAAAAGGGTTTGTCTTAGAGCACTTAATATGAATCCTGAAGCTGCTTGGATTGACTAGGGAATCTGCTTGGACATCACTGACAGCAAGGTGGATGTCAGGTTTGAAGGGGGAGTTGACAGTAAACTCACCATAAAAAAGAAACCATAAAACCCGAGACAGCAGGCAGCCCACAGCATTGTATGGTTGTAGTCAGAGAAGTTAAAGGACTGGAAGATAATGTGCATCAGCTCGATTGTGATGGATTGGCGCTGCCGCCTATTTGAGCATTGGTGACGTTTGATACCCCGCAACACACGCTGTAACCGAAGTCAACCAACCAGCGGAGAAGGATGACCCTCCTCAATGTGAAGGGACCGGATTGCTGAAAGGTAAACCTTTATGGATGAATGGTGGAGAGTATCAGCATGATGACAGCAGAAACGGATGAGCATGTCTTCACTGGCTGGAAGAGCTAATCCCGAAGGAGATAGGCTGTTGTCCTGAACACAGAAATCCAAGAAGCGGCGTTGGGCTGAAGCATAAACTTTCCTAGTAGAAAGGGCAAGACCCTGAGTCAAATAGAAGTGGATGCCCGTACATGCTGGTGTCCCCTAGGGCACCAAATTGGGTCCAATTCTCTTTTTGATAATGATTAATGACCTGGCTATTCAATCCCCTTCGCTCGAACCACTGGAAGTACGTCGATGACGATACAACATCTGAGGTCACCAGTTTGGGGGAGGCATCATCTCTGCAGAACGACATCAACTGCATTTCGCAATGGGCCCAGCAGAACAACATGAACCTCAACCCTAAAAAATGCAAGATCATGACCATTTGTCCACTCAAAACCAAGCCTGTCTCTCCAATGCTCTCCATCAATAATTTACCTCTAGAGGCAGTGTCATCTTACAAAGTACTTGGTCTGACCCTGTGTGACACCCTAAAGTGGAACGATAACACAAACGAAATCGTTTCCAAGGCGTCTAAGCGACTGCACATTCTCAGGGTCTTGAAGCGCGCTGGGGTCCCTCCAGTGGACCTTGTCACCATCTATAGCGCCCTGGTTCGCTCTGTCCTGGAATACTTTTGTCTGGGCTACTTGCCTTCCTCGCTTCCTCATTGACCAGCTTGAAGCTATCCAGAAGAGGGCCCTGCGAATCGTATACCCTGACCTCCACTATCAACAGGCTCTTGCACAAACCAACATTACCAGTTTAGAGGATAGACGCGCCCACCTGTGTCTTTAAGTGTGGCACAATATCAAAAATAACCCGGATGGCCAGCTCCACCGCCTTCTCCCTCCCGTGCGATCTGAATGCCACTCTTACCGTCTTAGGAACAGTAGCAGTTCTAGCCGCTTCCAGTATAGAACAAAGCGCTTCGGTTCTAGTTTTTTCCCAGCAATGGCGAAAATGAACTAATCTTACGAGTCTAGTTATCTCTAGTATTGTCCTTTATCTATAACTGAATTGTAAATAACTTATAAATAGCCTGTAATCCCAGTCCCTCTGAAACAAATGTAATTTTATTTTTAGTTGTAACTTATGTAAGCACATTGTAATTCATAGTTTTTATGCCATCATGTGTATTTTAATAAACCATCATTATTATTATTATTATTATTACTATTATTTATCTGACGGCGAAGTTCCAAGTCCGAGAGGAGCTGCTGCGGAATCTGGGTTGAGATGGAGTCAGCATGAGGGGCTCGGCGGCGAAAGCGCTGAAACTGAAAGCGAGACGGGGAGTCAGCAATGGGGTTAGACTTCCCTCTAACTGGGGAGGCAGTGAACGAGAAGGAGTGACGAGCTGCCAACAGGGACAGATAACGAACCAGGGACATGATGGTAGGAGCTCTTGAAGTGCCAGACCGCAGAATGTCCATCACTGAGCGGTTATCTGATAGGAAGTTGACCCGTTTGGAGGCCCACTGGGGACCCCAGAGGTAAGCTGTCACGACGATAGGGAAAAGTTCCTTGTACTCGATAGACTGAGAGTCCTGTGTTGGGAGCCATGCACCAGAAAACCAGTGACCCTGGAAGACTGCTCCGTAACCAAGAGCCCCAGAGGCATCTGAAGAAACCTCGAAGTCGGCAAGTGGAGCCCACTGGGGGTACTGAAGGAAGTTGCAACCATTCCAAGACTGGAAAAACTCTTGCCACTTGGCTAGGTCAAGAAAGAACTCTTGATGGAGACGAATCGGGTGGTCATCGCGTCGAAAGGCACATAGCAGGTTGATCATTCGGCGCAAGAATGAGCGACCTTGGGGTACGACCTTGCAGGCATGCTGAAAGTGACCTATTAGAGACTCCAGTTCCTTGCGTTTACACCAACGCTTTTGTGACCAATCCTCCAACAAGGCAGTTATCCTATCAAATTTGTCTCGAGAAAGGCGTGCCAGCAGATTAAGAGAGTCCAGTTCAATGCCCAGGATGGTTAGGCACATCGATGGCCCTTCTAGTTTGTCTGGATGGAGGGGGATGCCAAGCTTAGAAAAACAGTCAATTGACCTGTCCACATTGTGTTGACAGACAGAGGAGCCGGGAGGGCCAAGAATGTGGAAGTCACCAAGGTAATGCATCAGGAAGGTGACATCGTAGTTTTGCTTGGCCACCCACTCCACTAAATCTGCTATACATGTGAAGATATATGGAGCTGACCTTACACCGAAAGGTAGGACCATATCAACATTAAAGGCACCACGCCATTTCATACCCAACAACTGGCGATCTTCGGTATGGACTGGCACAGTACGGTATGCATTTTGCACATCAAATTTCGCGATAAGGGAACCCCGCCCCAGCCGCATTATGCCCGCAATAATGTCATCTACCTTCATGTACTGCAGAGAATAATCCTCGCCCACAATTCCGTCGTTGACACTGTGGCCCGCAGGGCTAGACAGGTCCAGGATAAGACGCCATTTCCCAGGTTGGTGGCCTTTGGGGATGACACCGAAACGACTCACATGGAGGACAGGGAGGGGAGGCTGGGAAAAGGGGCCCGCCACCCTGCCTGTCTGAACTTCCGATTGCAAGTAACTGTCGATGACCTGAGGGTTTAGGAGTGCTGACGCCATATTCCCCGTTGCCGACTTCAGGGAGTTACTCTAATTGAAGCCTAGGTGAAAACCATCGCGAAGGCCTTGGACCACATATGCAACTTTGTCTGGGTTAGGATGATGACAGAGTTCATGCTGGAATCTATCCACATTAATGGGAGTAAGCTGAGAAACTGGTCTTAACGGACAAACAGCTGGAGAACACAACGAATAACTGGAACTTGGCAGACCCTGCTGCGGAGAAGGTAAAACAAAAGGAGAACGCAACTCTAACGCTGAAAAGTTACCATGAGAACCAACGTGAACAGAAACAAAACTATTTACAGCTGAATTGGCTAGAGGTGGCCTAGCGGCGGCGGTGACCCCCCTTTGACTGAGAAGGGGAGCGGGACCGTTCTGTCCGTGCGGACCTGTGAAGGCAGTGGATGCGGGGGTGGTCCCCATGGCACGATTCACAGGAGTGACGAAACCGGCAGCGACCGAAGGGCCAGCGACAGCGCCCATCGTTCCAGGAGTGGCAATACTGGCTAGACCGGGGGTTGCCTGAAGACCCGAGAGGCTCTGTTAGTGACGAGGCAGAGGAAGTTGAGGAACCTGAAGCAACTGAAGTTGTAACCGGAGATCTGGTGTGAAAATTGTGGAGGTCTGGGTGAATGCGAGACCAGTCGGTTGAACCTGAGGCTGCGGCTTCTTTTCTGAAGGCGATGTCGTAGAGGAGCCACGATTTGTCAGAAAAGTGCCTTGCTGTCTGAATAATGAGTAACTTGTATTGATTTAAATCTTTCCAGCGAGAGGGGAAGGTGTGGCAAAGAATCATAGAAAAGATTGTGAAGGCTTCTTTCCAGGTGACGATGTCTGCTATTTCGATGACCCGTTTTTTAGACCCTGAAACGAGCAGCTTTCCCTCCAAAAACGCTTGGGGTTCGTTTTCTTGAGCCCGGATATTATCCGGAAGTAGGTCAGCCAAGTCTACAAAATGTTCTGCTGTAATTTTAGAAACCAGCTTATACGGGACTGGAGCATAGCCATGACCCACCACAAATGCTTTGTTGAGGTTTGGAAACGTAGAGGACTCATATGATAATATTATGATAAAATTTAAAACACCTTAACCTGAAATTATGATGATGACAATAGTTATAAAAATTCTAAAAATCTAAAACTTTAAACCACGAACCCTGTTGCCAAATTCCTTGGAAACTCACAAAGAGACAATCAAACGCAACTTCTGAGCTAAATGGCACAAAACATGGATCCGCAGTGGTCGAATGCAAATTTTTGTACGTTTTTCGTTTTCAGAATGCAGACTCTTATTTTTATAATTTTAATGATAGACTCAATAGTGCTTAATCAAGAAGGTTGTTTGGTTTAAGGCAAAGTTCTGAAAGTCACGCAAGTAGAGAAATCCTTGTGATCTAGTAACGAAGCTACATAAACTAAAAAGGGTTAATAATACATTACGTAAAGATGCAATGTAATACATACAGGAGAATGTCTGAGCCCAAGGCTTCTTACAAAGCAACGGCGCATAAGGCTAAAGAGCGAGGGCATTATCCGATTTAATGCACCTTTCCATTGTTTTAGAACCAGCGGTACTTAACAATTAATGAATGAGGCTGAGTATCTTATGAAGAATTATGGAGATCGAAGAGGGTGTTATCCGTCGAGGCCGTAGGCCGAGGCGGATAACACCCTCCGAGATCTCCATAATTCTTCATATGATACGAAAGACGAATTCAATAATTGTTTTATTATTCATTCAAAATAATTCCTACTTTAAAAACATGGCTAAAACATGCTAACCTCCATCGATCCATCGATGTTAAGTTCATCTTCGGTAGTGCACGTTTAGGTTTGTCCAGCTCCGCAAATATTCTCCAAATAGTAGATGTCGCCCTTCGAGTTGTCTTCTTGCTGTTCTTGCCATGTTTTTAGCTATGTTTTCACCTATTCTTACTCTTGAAAAGAGTGAAATGTCCGCCATTTTTCAAGTTCACAATCAAAATAACTCAGCCTCGTCCTCAGGTCTTCTCGGTTAACGATGCCTTAACCTGCGAAAACGCTGCATTTTTGACGTCATTTCCTCGTTAAACACAAAATTTTTCCAAATTTGGTCATCAGTAACTGGTTATGGTGAAATAAACGTGTGCTTTTAGCCAATCAGAATCGGGAAAATATTTTGAATGAATAATAAAGGTTATTATTGTAGTCACTGATATGGAACAGTAGGTCATTATTCTTAATAGTGACCTTCTGTTTCACCTCAGTGACCTGCTCTTTCATTCATTAAAAATAATAACCTTTTTAGAGCAATGGAAGGATGCATTAACCCTCGGACATACACGCAAAGTCATACCCCACCGTGGTACAAGGGGGGGTTGATTGAACCTCCCCCCCACTCCTTGAGTTTTTGATACATTGCAGTATTTCGAAACGATTTTGCCTTCAGTGGAAAGCCTTTCATCTTTTCTCTACAGGTTGAGGTATATTTTATTGGTGGTGGCGCTGCTGGAGGTCTGTGACGTCACCAAACATGGTCGCCATCTTGGCAGCCATCTTGGATTTTATCAAAAATTAAATTTAGGTAAAAATAAAATAAAAATAATTACTTTGCATCATTTTATCCACAAACTTTACTTTTATTCCTGAAAAACGTTGAAAAAACATACTTTCTCACTCAAAAACGGCATGACCACCTGCTACTTATGACGTCATATCTCGTAACCATAGTAACTGATCATTACTAAACTTGTCTCAAAATGCGGGCGAGGATAAACGAACAGCTAAAGAAAACTTCAGGTGCTGATGTTTTATCGTCTAGGAAAAAAATCAGAAAAACCTTGGGGGGGTGGCAACCCCCCCCCCCCCCCGTTGTACGTCTGAGGGTTAATACGAATTATGTTCAGTGTTATCACGGTAGATTTCCCAAACGGATTATGGCAGCGGCTGATTTACAAGCTACAAGAAAATAAACTGGCACTTCTAGCTGGTTTGTTAATACATAACAGAGATAAGAAAAACCGTAAAAGACGACAATACAAAAGGATCATAATTTTACTTGCCTGCAACTGTCCACACTGTTACCAAAATCAATACAAGGAAAATTCTTCCTTGCGCTAACATCTGTAAAAGAAAAAAATATAACATAGTAAAGATAGTGGTCTCCTCAACAAGGACTGATTTGCAACTTACGAGAACAGCCGTGTTGTATTTGCCCCTGGAATACTTTTTTACTATTCCTGAGCATGAAAACAATAAAAAAATCCAACTGCCAAATTACTCCTCAGTTTGCGCGTTTCTGATACTTAATTGCTATCAACAAATTTGGTTCAAATCCATTTATTGCTCGAGTAATTCTCAATACAATGGAACAACAGGTGAAGAAAGACAGCGTCAGAGGTTTCAAGTGGCTCTGCCTTCTAATTTTTTTACATCCAATCAAATTTTTCCTATCTTCAGGAAATCTTTCCCACTGTTGCGCTTGTTTCACCTACGGTTCTCTTTAACTTTTTAAAGTCGGTTCCATCTGGCGTACTTTAGTGTATCAATCAATGGCTCTGAAACCTCTAACATAAAGGTCATCTCCGGGTTGACTATCTGAGCTAGACACTATTCTGAACCCTCCTTATACACTATACATTTTCCTTGAGGCCGGTCATCTTCGTGCTAGGAACAGAAACTCAGGTGCACTGACCAGTGATAAATCACTTGCAGGACCTTCACGTGTGGCTCTCGAGTCGCATCTTCTGCAGAATTCAAATTAGTCTTGCTTTTTGTGTGCATTAAGTTCAGTAAAAACAAACAGTTCAGTGACCACAACTTCAGTTCAATAGAGATACACAAATTAATAAGAATATGTATATTACTCCTCGTCTAATAATATTAGCAGTCTTTCTTGAGTGCGAAGTCAACAATGTTTTCAGTGCAGTTCAATAAAAACACAATAGTGTAGTTTTCAGCGTAGTTCAGAGAAGACACAATAGTTCAAAAACTACAACACGAGTTCAGTAACCAACAAGCTTATGGTGTTTATGTTCTTTATGTTTATTAGCCACCCTTCGCTCACAGACTGCTATTTTTTTTTTTTGCTTTATTACTAGGGAGGGGTTGAGGGCCATCGAAAACGCTGCAAAAATTTCTTTTTAATTTAAATTCATCGACGTCTAGCTTGATCCATTTTGATATAGTATTCTCCTTCCCCATATAAGGCCCTAAAGTCCACCTCGTATTTTGAAGCCTGCCTTGCCGAGCAACTTTCTAAGCTGGTCTCGAGGTTCATCTTCAGTCTCCCAGGAAGTCATTACGTCAACCACGCAAATTTGTCAGGGACCATGGCTACTACTAGCGGGTAGTCATTTCTGTTATCTTCTGCATGTTTTCGCTAAGTATACTGGGTAAGGTAAAGTGAGACGCGGTCACCAAACATCAATCTTATTGCTTTATAGACTTTCAGAGGTCTCGAGAGGACTAACCATCTCCACAGGAGGCGGTAGAACCGTCTGTATTGCTTTGCCATGGTGACTTGTGAGAACATTTTCGTCAGATCGATCTGCTACCAGGGCTACAGCATCACTGCGAAAACGCAATAGTACATCAAAAACATCTAGCTGCAGTTAAGGTCCAGACAACATGGTATCATTAAGGCTTATTCTGCCATATCTGGTTGTTGAATCGAAAACTCTTCTCCCTTTGGTAGTCTCTTTGTCTTCTCTCACTACAGAAAATGAGGTAGGTACCCAACTTTCAGTTGGGCCATCATCAATTTCTCCTGGCTCCAGAGTCCTGATGCAACCCTTGGATTCATTTGCTTCCATCACCTGGCAGTACTTCTCAGTAACGTTCGGCCATTGCATCAAGTAAAATCTGTCTGTTGCAGTATAACGGCGGTTTACCGTCCTTCCATGGAATAGCCACTTTACAGCGCCCCTCAGCATATAACGCCTTGAGTCTGCCACCTTGCGGGTAGCAGGCACCTCTTCTGCTGTCAAAGGCTTGTTTTGATCGGTGATTCCCACCACTTCTTCATCCTAAGTCATCCGCATCAGCTCATTGGCCCTCATTTTTGGAGCAAAAGTTGCAGGGAATGTGTAGACATGGTTAGCAGCATGGCACTCGTTGGCTACCTCCGACGACAAATATCCAGCAATTAATCATCCGAGTGGTATCTTCACTCCTACAGGCTCGCCCGGCTTACTATGTAATATATAAGGGGTAGAAGGAGTTCCTCATAATGATCACTTCCAATCAGTAACTTAACTTCTCCATGTTCAACAGGCTTTATGATCTCCAGATAGCGAAGATGATCTAGTTTTCTTGAATTGGGTTACCAATCAATTGCTGTCATTTCACACATTTTTGGGGTTGTCCACAGAACTACGTGCTTTTTAACGCTCTCTAGGCGAACAATTACAGTTTTTGCTATCCGTCACAATCGACTTCGCTCCCAAAACAGCAACCCGTAGTGATCTACACGTAGCCTTCAAACCCAATGTATCAGCGATCTCCTTCTTAAGGGAGACGACCCAGAACCAAGCCGTTTGCTTTGATCTTTAGCCCATTTCCCCCCTCCAATATTACCATTTTCATCTGCAGGCTGTGGTAGACTTCACTCTTCAATTCGAGTGATATTTTGGTGTCCCAGTTGCTGAAGTCTATCCTGTAACTCCTTGCTAGGGACGGAGTGTCTTAGCCGACAGGTTCAACTGTGGTGGCTCTATGGCTGCATGAAGTTGTGGGTGGGAGTGTCGGTGACACACCCTTCCACTCGACATGTCCCTTTTAATGAGCACCGTTCATCCCGATGTCCCCCTTAGAGGCACCAAAAACACAAAACCAGCTTCTTCGCTAATTCCCATCCTCCATTTACTGTTGATTCATTCTAAGTTTTACATGATGTCAGTTCATTTTCTTCTTTGCACACAAAACGGTTTTTTCAGCTCCTGAATTTGCATGAGTTTCATTCCGCCATCCTTCTTTTTTTGAAACCACTGTTTTGGTATAATTTGACTTAAGGTTTCTCTTGTTCAGGATTCTCTTTAGTATTTGCACGACCAAGCGCCATCTCTTGGA